CCCCGTGTTTGTACTACAATAGCACAGGGGAGTAGCTGTGACAGACACCATGAAACCTGTAAAGCCTACTGTCCGATCTGTTATAAAAATGCCTATCAGTCCCTGCTTTAGAGCAATGCTATAAAGTCTAGACTATTTCATATTCACAGGATATGAGAGTCATATATTTGTGTATGATGTCTGCATAGGGACATACTGGTTTTTATAAGAAGAAATCTAAGTTAGAAATAAATTCAAAAATATGGGCTGGGGATTTAGCTCAGTGGCATAAGCGCCTGCCTTGTAAAGCAGGCAGTCATGAGTTCGATCCCCGGTACCGATAAAAAGGAAAAAGACAAAAAAAAAAAGAAATTCAAAAATAGATGACACTCATTTTTGTAAGAATGGTTTTATATGCCCAAGATTTTTATACCAATAGCACTGACATGCACCTTCTATGGAGAGGGTTTGAGTGGAGATACAGTCTATATTTTCGGTAGGATAAGTTTATTGTGGCAGTGGCATTTCTAGGTTTCTACTTAATAGAATATTTACAAGCCAGTTGATGATAGAAGTCTCATGCCTGGGAGATAGGACAAGGCTGAAGTTATGATTTAGAAATCATCAAACATGGTATTTTGAGTACTTAAAAATTGATAAGTCCTTGTGTTACCGTGTTTTGGGGTGGTCATCACTTGGCTTCCAGGTTCTCCTCTTTCAGAACAATGAATTGAATAAGACAAGCAAAAATGGTGACAAAGTTTATTTGACAAAGTAAATTAGAGGTAAGGGAAACAACTGCCTCTGTGGAGGGGAGTTGGACTGAATAAGCAAAGAGAAATACACCCTCAGGAACACATGCAGGGTGCCATGAGGACAGCCACCATGGCGAGTTCTTCATGCTGTTGAGGCAAATGAGAGGACACCCAGGATTTGGAGGCAGATTTATTTTACATGGATGAGCACTGACTCCCAAAATATCAGGCCCTGATCTCTGGTGGTCTAGGCTTTTCTATGATGTACAAGCAGGAGGTTCAAAGGCGAGACAGAAGGGCCTGACAGTTCTGATTAGATAGCAGGGTGCGATCCTGGGTTACAAGGCTAGATTAATGATCATCAGTTACAAAGCTAGATTATTGGTTATGAAGCTTGGTACAGTCAGGCGTCCTGCATGTTCTCCAGATTACAGGGATCAAGAAAGTAATTATAAAGCCGTGAAGCAGTTTCAGAGCTAAGCAGACTCAAAAGAAAAAAGTTTTTAAAAGAACAATGTCTCTTGTACAGTTTGTCCCTTTCAAGTGTATCTGTGTCTTTTTATGCCATCCACATCTGGAATCTGTGAGAACGGCTGCATACAGGGTCCTGAGAGGTAGTGCAGGGTAGATTCTAGGATCCCGCCACACCTCTCTTCCCAATCAGTCTAAGCCATGCTGTCCTATCTCACTCGTGGAAGAAGCACAATTACAAAAACAGAAAAACCAAGAAGCAAACAAACCTAAAAAACAATAACAGCAAAAGCAAAATGATAACAACAACAAAAGAAAAAACAACAGCTATATAGGTTTTCACAGCAAGATGATAGAAATTTAACAATGGTTGCGATGCTGCACATTGTTAGCTTCAAAATAGTTGCTCAGGTTACCAGACACAGAAACAAAACAAAACAGTAAAATGGAACAAAACATTGGATTTCAAAAACAAGCCAGGGGGAAATCCCCCATGGTGGACACAATGCACGCTGCCATCCTCCACCTAGATGCCCAGACCACCAGCCCCCGCCCGCAGAGTCAGCCAAACAACGTAAGCATCAAGCTTTTGGTTTCCCAGTCTGCACACTGGCTGACTCACAGGAAGGCGTGGTTCTGTTTCTTGCTGAGGTTCATAATCACAATTTTTGAAAAGTACCCTTTGTTCCATGTACACAGACATTAGAGCAGCACTCACGAATTGAAATAAATCAAAAGTACATAGCAACACTGCAATTCCCAAATTTGAAAATCTACTGCATTTACATCAACAAGGGATGAATGAATTGAACAGGCAGTTCATACTAAACTCCACAGCACTGGTGACATTGAATAACTTGAACTACATGTACCAGCGTTATCTAATCTCACAAATTAAAAGTCAAATAGAGAATCAGGTTGAAGAAGATAATTTAAAGTACACGGAACAGTTGGACATGGTGGTGTGTGCCTATAATCCCAGCATTCAGGAGACTGAAGCAGGAAGATCAACCAAGCTTACCGCCAGCCTGGGCTACGTAATGAAATCAAAGCTACCCTGAACTATATAGTGAGACCTTGTTTCAAAAAAATCAAAAAGGAAGACCAAAGAAAGAAAGAAAAAAAATAAAGTACATAGCACTAACACAAGTATACCAAATGTACATTTTGGCAAAGGTCAATAAACGAAAATCAGTATTTCACACCAAGCATGGCAACACATTCTTGTAATCCCAGCACTCAGGATGATGAAGAGGGAGAGCTATCTTGAATTTGAAGCCAGCCTGGACTACATGGTAAATTCAAGGCCAGCTTGAACTACATAGCAAGACCTTGTCTCAAAAAAAGAAAACAAACAAAAAAATCAGTATTTCATTAAGAATAAAAATGAGTATCAATGCCAAAGAATGGCTTCTGGGATTATAAAAATAAATATTGTATTAAAACACTGACATTTCATCAATAATTTTAGTAGTTACTAGTTCAGTTAGAACAATGGAGCTGAGGCGGTCATCTCCCTCCACCCATTGGAGTATAAACAGCACCCAGAGCTGTTCCACCTTCCATTGCCCTAGGAGAGGTACAGAACAGCAACAAAACCCAGGGAATCCTTAGCCCTAGGCAAGAGCACATGCACTCTGAACCTTCCGACCTGACCTTCAGTCAGGTCAGACCTTTACCCTACTCTGACTAGTAAAGGTCAGTGCATGAATATGCACTCCACCTTCTATTTGTAATTAAGATCAGAGTGAATTCCAGGACCAGTTGGCCTGTGGCTAGCACCTGAGATGACACAGCATCTTGTCAATCATTTCTGTCATCTTACCTTGTGATAGCTCGGAATAAAATACAAGGAAGCAAGAAATTTGGAGCAAAGGCTTTATTTTAGGCCAGGCCTGGCGATGCAGCCTCCGGTAGCCAATATGGAAGACTGCGCGCTTCACAGGCTAAAGGTCGAGTTTTTAAAGCTAAAAACCGCAAAGCTATCGACCTATTTCAGATAACATTCTTGGTACATTCTGTTGCTCTTGGGTTTAACATTTTCCCAGAAGGGCACACCTTGCAGAAGCATGAGGAAGGGGGTTGGGGGGATTTACAAGGAGCTGAAACTTAAGTCTTTACTGGAAATGGAATTTTAATCTTTACTGAAACGGCGCATACAGAACAGGAAGGAGGCGCACTGATTAGAGCTAGGCCACAACAACCTCAGTGGGCTGGGGTGCATAGCCTTTGAATTCTGAAAGCCTGATTTACTGTGTGGTGTGTGCTGTGTGCAGTGCCTTTTATTTCTGTCATCCTAGAACCATCTTTCTGTTTGTACCATTTTTTTTTTCTCAGCATAGGCTTGTCTTGATCACATCACATCATCCTCCGATTATCAATAAATGTAAGTTTTTCAGTTGCCACTGGGTATGCGCTTGGAATCGATCCATTGTTATACACAAAAGTTTGACATCAGGGGCTGGGGATTTAGCTCAGCGGCATAAGCGCCTGCCTTGCAAGCAGGCAGTCGTGAGTTCGATCCCCGGTACCGATAAAAAGGAAAAAGACAAAAAAAAAGATTAAAAAAAAAAAAAAAAAAAAAGTTTGACATCTCCCTGTCGGTCCACCTGTGCAGTAACACACTTTCAGGGAGGGTCTTGCTTTTGTAATCACTGTCCTGCTCACATGTGACTCTAAATTGACTTCTGATTGCTCTTGAGACCTTTCTGGAGGTTCTAGCAGGGGAGCCCAGCTACTCATAGACCCTTGACCAAGGAATCGGGCCTCCTTGATGGGGGTGTTTGTCTTCTTCAGCCAAGCCAAGCACTAACCCTGGAAGGCACACACCCGGAGCCCTGAGGGAGGCAGGCAGCACCCATCTAGACAGCCAGATCACCCGAATCAGCCCCAGTGATCGCTGCGGTGATCCTAGTCAGAGCACCCTCACATCTGTCGCTTGCAATTGAAGCCACTAAAGGATTGAGATATTTGGAGGTTATAAAATTTTCTCCAATACAGTTTTCTGTTCTTCATAGACTATTTTTTAGCATATTTAAGTAAAATAATGACGATAGATATGCATGCTTTCAGGGGTTTTCCTCTTGGTTAAATTTCTTTCCCTTATGGAAAGAAAAGAAATACAATTCAGCATTTTTTTTCTTGAATAATTCATGGTATGACTGGAATATAGACCCTAAAAGTTGGATTCTTAAAGATTGTTTTGGATATTAATGCACAGTTGCACAGTGATTAAAAATGTGACATCTAACCCCATTATTTGCCAAGCCTGGTGGTGTACATCTATAATCCTAGCACTCAAAAAACTGATGCAAGAGGATTGCTTTAAATTTGAGGTCAGCCTGGGTTACAAAGTGAGTTCAAGGCTATTCTGAACTATATAGTGAGACTCTGTTTCAAAAAAAACAAAACAAACTGGCTGAGGATTTAAAAAGCTCAGCAGTATAAGCACCTTCCTGGCAAGCGCAAGATCATGAGTTCAATTCCCAGTACCAAAAAAAAATAACCAACTCCAAAAAGCAAAAACAAACAACCTAGTAGGGTGGCGCATTCCTGGAATCCCAGCCCTCGGGAGGATGAGGCAGGAAGATCATTGCAAGTTCAAGACCAGTCTGGGCAACAAAGTGAGCCCAGAGCCAGTCTAAACTGCATAATAAGACTCTGCCTCAAAAAGACAATAAATTAACTAATTAATTTAATTAAATAAAACTGGAAAAGTACTTTATAATAGGGATGCATCTTTTCTTCAGAGTTAAAGCGATTGGTTATTAAAGTATCCACTAAGAAACTGATTTACTTAAATATGTTTAATGGCAATCTGGTACATGATTTTCTGTTGCAGTGATTATAATTAAAGGTGGAGGAAGGTGGCAGGCAGGTTGGCGTATGCCTTTAGTTCCAGTACTCAGGAGGCTCCGGAAGGAGGATGGCTGTGAGTGCAAGGCCAGCCTGGGCTACATAGCGAGTTCAAGGCCAAACAGTACATAGTAAGACCCTGTTGAAAAAATAAAAAAGAGGCTGGGGATTTAAGTCAGCGGTATAAGCGCCTGCCTGGCAAGCACAAGGTCATGAGTTCAATCCCCAGTAACGCAAAAAAATAAAAATAAAAAAGAGAGAAACTCACTCAGTAGTTTACGATTTAACCAAATAAATAACAACCAAATCTCCAGTCTTCAGAGGTAAGAGCTCTACTTATAGTAGTATGTAACTCAAAAACAGTTTGTCTGTTTTCAAATCTACTTTATTCAAAGATTTTTTAAAAAGAAGAAGAAAAAACTACAGCAAAATTTCAAAGCACATCAATCAAGAGACAACAATGGTATGTACATTACAATTGTCATCCCCAAATCATTCACCCAGGGCTTAAGACATCTGCATTCAATTGTCTGAAAAATACCAGTACAAATCTTTCTTTTTGGTGAACTCAGAGAAAATGGTAGTATAACTATCTTAACTATACACTTATATATATATATATATATACACATATATATATATATATATATATGTTCAAAAACAGTTTGTTGCAATGTTCCCTCACTTCTGGTGGCCACAATTTTCTTTTTTAGTGTTATTATGCACAAATTTTCTGTTTTTCTCCACAAACCCTCAGATTTCGGTTGAGAACCCTTGATCCAGGAACCCCTCCATGATAGTTGTTTGCCGTTGCTAAATAACTGCCTTATTTCCTGTTTTCTTTCTCTTATCTAGAGACAAGACAGGTACAAAGCAGAGCAGGATATGACAGCTAGAGGAATGTTGCAGAAACAGTGAAAACAATCAGTCTGAGTCTTACATCTATTTGCTCATTTTCATTCTAACAGATTATATCTTGTAATTAACATTTAACGTGGTCCTGGCCATATCGATACTGCTGGAGAAGTCATCTGTCCCCAGGTACTGTCATTTAGCAGCTCTGGATAATTTCTTTTCTTTTTTTTTAAACTTTCCCTCTAATCAGACCTTGAATTTGATATTGAGCATTTGTAATTTTGTGTCTTTGTAAATCTGTGTAGACGCAGATATGTGGCCTAGCGATGCAACAAAGAGTTGGTTACATTAGGTGTCAGAATGAGAATAAAAAATAGCCAGTGAGCTAAGAAAAGCCTCAGAGTAGGAAAAGACTTGAAAGATCTTCAGTTTTTATTAGCTGTACCAGTGCTGGATGGTTTAATTTTGGATTTCTCATTATGGAAGAAAAATAAAGCTGATGTTATGATTTGTATCTAGATGTTCCCTAAGAGCCTCATGCAGTCACAGGTGGGGCTTTTTCAGAGGTGGCTGGATCCAGGGTGCCTAGGATCAAGGCTGTGAATGCTACCTGCCCTAATCCTGGGTAAGACGTAAGGGACAGAAAGAGATTTTTTGTTTATCTTTGTGGTTTTCTGCTTTCTGCCTTCTCCCTGCATGCTTTGTGATGACTCTTTGCCATGCCACTCTGTCCTGGAGTCAACTGATTGCAGACCGAAACCTCTTCAAACTCTGAACCAAATAAATCTTTGCTCCTTTTACTTTGGGTATTGTGTATTTTGTCTCAGCAGCAAGGAAAGTGACTAAGACAGCCAACTTGGTGGCATGTGCCTGTAATCCCAGCTTCTTGGGAGGCTGAGACAGGGTGGCAAATTTGAGGTCAGTCTAAGCAATTTAGTAAAATGGTGTCCATGAATGAATGAATAAATAAAAAATATATAAATAAATGGGTCTGGGGGTGTAACTCAGTGGTAAAGCATTGCCTAGCATGGATGAGGTCCAAAGCTCAATAACTCCTACTGAAAGGCTTTTGGCCCAGGCTGGACACTGTAACCGGAACCAGGAAGCCCCTATCTCCCCCAGCCCTAAGAATTTACCTGTGACGCCATCTTCCCGCCCCTGGGAATTTACCTATGGCGCAAAACCTAGGACCAATGGGCTACCCGTGCATCCCTGATGCCCCTTAGATTCCACCCCAAACCGAGGCTACTTACATAACCCCACACCACGTGTCCGCTAGAGAGATCGCCGGACTCCAGCGGTGAAGGGTGCCGGTCATCTCCGTGTTCTCAGAATAAAGGCCTCTTTTTGTTTTATACTTCTCATCTTTTGGAAATACTTTTCATCTTTTGGAAATAATCCTATCACCTACTACAAAAGAAAGAAAAATAAGACTACCTTTTATTTATCTACTGTTATTTGCTATTGTAAACAGACACCCTTCAACCATAAGCCTTCTGAGCAAGCCATTTAGGACACTTTCATATTTTAAAGTGATCAAAATATGTCAATGTTCAAAGAAATCTGTTTTGAAGCCCAGGGGCTATTCTTGTGACCACTTCAGAAGAGATCACTTACAGTTAGCTGGGTTTTAAGTTACTAAACAATTTATCAAATGACTTTTTAGGTTATATTTAACATGTGTTCCTTATAGTTCGTACCATCCTACAGATATGTGTGAGGGACAGAAGCTATTTGTCTCAGGGAAGCATTTCTCAGAGCTGGGCCTTAAAGTATGAAGAAGGAAAACAAATGGAGGCTGAAAAAATAGCACAGACTCGGAGGCATAAAGAACACGGTGTTCCATGAGCAGGTGAGACAGAAGAAATAGAGATGAGACGGGAAAGTAAACTGAGGCCAAATTGCTTACAGTTTTGTATAATTTAAAGCTAGTCACATAAAAAATAAGAAGTGGGGCTGGGGATTTAGCTCAGCAGCATAAACACCTGCCTTGCAAGCAGGCGGTCGTGAGTTTGATCCCTGGTACCGATAAAAATGAAAAAGACAAAAAAAAAAAAAAAAAAAAGAAGAAGCTCTTATAGAGGAGTTTGGTGAAGGGAGTCATAGGACCATATGGGTATTTTGGCCTCTATGAGAGGCCGTAGATAGAAAGTCTATTTAAATGGAGACCATTGCAAGTCCTCCATGCCCAGCCATCATTCTTCCTAATCCATATGTAAGGTCAGACCTGCAGTCCTATATGGTGCTCTTCCTTCAGAGTCTGACTGGACAGCATTCAGGGAAAGAGCCATGCTGTTGTGGGCTGCAGGCAGAAGAAGTGCGTCCTTGGTTCTTAGACTTCAGCAATTTGGGAATTTTTAAAAAATATATGCTCAGGCCCCTCCCCAGACTCACTGCAACAAGTTGCTGAGTCAGATTCAGTGATTTCCCAGAATATTCGAATGTATTCTGAAGTTTGACAATCACTATCCTGTCTGGAAGTTTCTCTTTTCTTTTCTATGACCTGATTACCACTGAAGACAGAGTAGCTACCCTATTCTAGAGCATTTTAATTTAAAGGATTTGGTCTTTGTCCCTGGTAACTGGCACAGAACCTTAAAACCCTTGGAATCCTTGAGAAAAATTTTATATGCTAATAAGATGACTTATGGAGTGGGAGGGGCTCAGAAACTTCAGGATTAAATTTGATCACCAGAAATCAGGATGAGAATGGAGCAGGAGAATGAATTCAGTGTCCAGTGGCCAATGCTTTAACCAACCATACCTACATAACAAAACCTCAACAGCAGAAAACCCTAAGCAACGTGGGTTCGTGGGTTTGGTGAGTCTCAGTTATGGTTTGTATCTAGATGTCACCCAAAACCTTGTATGTTCAGAGGTGGGATTTTCAAAACTGGATTGATTTAGGGTGTGTGATACTGGGATTAAGGATGTGTGGCCCTAAATTAGTCCATGATTGGAATTAAAATTAGCTTAGTTCTGGGTAGCATCACCCAGTAGGCTTGTAGCCTGAATGGGGTACAATGGAAAGGCAGGCCAGCTGCTGCAGCTTACTGTGCTGTCTCCTGCCTGCCACACCATAAACTATTTTTCCCCTACAATGCCTAGCTGCCTTTCTGCCCTGCTTGGAACCAGCTGACTATGGACTAAAACCTCTATAGATTATGAATAACTTGAAATTTAGGTGTCTGGTATTTTGTCTCAGCAATGAAACAAAATGTGGCTAAGACAGCTTTCAAACTGGTGAACATATTTATATGCTGGGAAGGAATGGGAGCTCTGCTTATTTCTTTTTCTTCCCAACAAACCTTTTCTATTGGTTGTCCCTCAGTTGTATTCTTTATAATGCACCAATGAACGTAAATAAAGTCTTTTCCTAATTTCTGTAAGTCATTCTACCAACTTACTAAACCTAAGCAGAGGTCCTAGAACTATAAAATTTGTTGCCAGGTGAACAGAAATGTGGATAGGTTGGGCATCTTGTTTGTGGCTGGTGTACAAAGTGAAGACAGTCTGGTGAGCCCGAGCCATTAGCTTGTGGGGTCTGTCCCTAAACCCAGGTAGGTAGTGTCAGAATTTAAAAAGACTGACACCTTTCCTCATCCATCATCAAGGTCATGGCATATATGTTTCTAAAAAAGTTAAGAGAAAAAAATAACAAACATTTAATCAAATAATTTTGTTTTGGTTTTGTTCTGTTTTGTTCTTTTGAGACAAGTTCTCACTATGTAGTTCAGGCTGGCCTTGAACTCACTATGCAGTCTACATTGGTCTTGAACTCAAAGTGATCCCCCTGCCTCAGCCTCCTGAGTGCTGGGATTATAGGAGTGCCACCATCATGTCCACCCCTTAATCAAAGTTTTGCAGGGATCTGCAGAATGAAGATCCAAGGACACAGAGCAATCTCATTTTTATGCTTAGATGAAATGAAGCATGGACAGCTGTGTAAGCAAGTGACTGGACAAAATGTGACCATCTGAGTGGAGAAACCCAGAAAGATCTATCTATTCAGGTTCTCCCAGTAGCATCCCTTCCTCCTGAGTATGGGCAGGGCTCCTTCTGGAATCGAGTTCTTATGACCTAATGTCAGGCAAGATAAACCAGGGAATCTCTATGTCAAGCTCCAAACTACATAAATACTATTTTTAGACTTAATGACTTACTTTGTGGAAAAAGGATTCTGGTTCCTCTGAATCACCTTAAGGAAGACAAATTCTAGTTTTTGTGACTTACCTAGGAGAAGAAAGGAGAGCAAGAGCCAGGAAGACAGGAGGAGGTCAGAGAGGGACGCTGCTTTGTGGGGCCTGCTTTTGAAGCCTGCAGTGCTGTACTTCGGATGTTGTTTTTTCTGAGTCACCACAAATTATGGGACAGTCAGCTGGTATCACAGAATTGGTTGGCATGAGAGGAAATGACGTGTAATTGGTGTCACAGAAAAACCACTGCACAGGGCCCCTGTCACATTTTGTCTCCTCCTGATCTCACCTGGCCCTTGTGTAACCACATTTCTTTTTTTTTTTTTTTTTTTTTTTTTTTTGTCTTTTTCGTTTTTTTATCGGTACCAGGGATCGAACTCACGACTGCCTGCTTGCAAGGCAGGTGCTTATGCCGCTGAGCTAAATCCCCAGCCCCAATAACCACATTTCTTTATAGAATGTGGTTAAGCCAGGAAAAATGGCAGTTCTGCTGCAGGGCTCTGACCTAAATTCAGAGCTAACTTTTGAAGGTGAGAAGTGGAGCTTATGTTTCTTCTCTGTGTAAGCCTAAACCAGGGAGGGTCAGACCTTTGTGCCTCTGACATGGCTTCTGATTACGCCACACCTGGTGAGCAGTTCCAAAAGGCCAGGGAGTAAAAGGCCTCGACTGTAGAAGACGGTGCTGCCCATGGGCTGTTATCATCTCAGACTCACTGATTGATTGCCTTGACTCTGGCTGACCTTGTCTGAACTGTCTGTTGACCTTTGAGTCCGGACACATGGTGTTCACCAGAATCTTTCTATCTAGATTCTAGATTATGTTGTAGCTTCTTAGCTGTTTATTAGTAGTCAGGCCTTTCCTAGGGCACTAAAATTGCTGCAATAAACTCACTCAGCCAGTTTCACATAAAAAGAGCCCAGGAGCCCAAGCAGAGGCTCTGTTAAAAAGGCTTCCAATCCTGATCTTTGTGCCTAAGGTCCCAGATGTGCTGCTTTCTCCGTGTTTGTTCTTAAATTGTATCTCCTTCTTTGTCTTTTCTTTCTCCGTGTTTGTTCTTAAATTGTATCTCCTTCTTTGTCTTTTCTTTACTGTCTCCTTCTAAAGAAGAGATACAATAAGTGCCTGCCTGGCAAGCGTGAGGTCATGAGTTTAGTCCCCAGTACCAAAGAAGAAGAGAGGAGGGGGGGGGGAGGGGGAAGGGAGGGGAGGGGGAGGGGGAGGGGAGGGGGAGGGGAGGGGGAGGAGGAGGAGGAGATTAGAAGAGACAGGAGGGAACAAAAAAAGAAGAAGAAGAGACATGGCTTCTTCAATCAATTCTACTTGTCTTAGTCCATTAGTGTTGCTATAACAAAAATTCCTGAAGCTGGACATGATGGCACATGCCTGCAATTCCAGCACTCAGGAGGCTGAGGCAAGAGGATCGTTGCAAGTTCAAGACCAGCCTGGGCTACAAAGTGAGCTCAAGGCCAACCTGAGACCCTGTCTCAAAAAGACAAAAAAAAAAAAACAACAAAGTTGCCCCAAAGCTTCATGTGTTCAGAGGTAGGGTTTTTGGAAGCTAATTGGCTCATATGAACACTGAATTCATCTGTGGATTAATCCACTGAAGAATTCAGAGCTGAATGTGCTTTTAGAGATGGAATCTGGTTGAAAGAGGCAGGTTACTGGCTGCATAACCTGGAAATCCATTCCTCCCACCCTGTCTCAGAAATCTCTTCTAAGACACAAATAGCCTAAGTTTTGAGCTGACTGATTTGACATTCTCCATATTCCTCACGGGAGCCAGTTCTACAGGATTTGGAAGAAATTAGTGCAGTTTCAGATGTTTTGTTGAGCCAAGTGTGGTGGTGCATGCCTGTAATCCCAGTATTCAGGAGGCTGAGGAGGAGGATCACTGTAAGTTCAAGACCAGCCTGGGCTACAAAATGAGCTCAAGGCCAGCCCGAACTGCATAGCAAGACCCTCTCTCAAAAAACCACACACAAAAAAAAGATGTTTTGTTGACAAGCTCAGCTCTATCAAAGTGGTTCCCAACCTGCAGCACCACGCTGGGTATAAGGGATCTCTCTATCCAGAACTCTTTCAGACCCTCCCACTTTGATCCTCCAGGACCCTAACTTTCCACTCATGTTCCTCATCACCTATCGTCTTCTAGATCCCTGGAAATGTCTAACTCCTTCATGTTCTCACCTTGGGTGATGCCTAAATTTCCAAATGTGTGCCCATGCACAGCTGCCGATGATCAGTACACATCTAAACCACAGACTCAGATTCCCATTATGCATGACAGATGGAAAGAATAAGGTGGTCCTGCTAACATTCCAAAGTCCTGGGAAAGTATATGTCTGTTGGGCTGGGGATTTAGCTCAGTGGCATAAGTGCGTGCCTTGCAAGTGTGTGGTTGTGAGTTTGATCCCCGGTACTGATAAAAAAGAAAAAAACAAAAAAAAAAAAACGTTGTGGGAAAAAAAAGTATATGTCTGTGAACTATAAACAGTTATAGACTGGAGTAGAATGCTACTTATTCCCCAATGCCCTCTTTTTTAGACTACATTAATAGAATGCCTAGAAAAAAGATGATTTATTTCTAAACTTACTCTGTAGTTCAACATAATCATTTGGATAAGCTCTGACCAATAAGTTTGAGGAAACATGATACATGGAACTTTAAAGATGAGCCTTTTCTCCAAAATTTCCTTTCCATTTGCTTTCCCGTTCGGCTCCTCTAAATTTTGGCATGGAGTTAAGCCTCATTAGCCAAATGGACTTCAGACCACACATTAGGGATGGTGAAACAGGAAGTGAGTAGTAACAGATGTCCCAGATGACCACATACCAAAATTGCTTCCAGTCTTGGACCCTTGATGAGAGAAGCAGTCAGCCAGGGCCCTGGCTATCCCAGAACATATTTTTGGGTATATCAAAAATGCAAACCCGGATCACTCTTCAGCCAGCCGTTTCTCAAGGAAAAGTTTGCAATGAGCAGCTGTAAGGGATAAAGTAACATCTTCTCCAAAGGAACAGACTCACTTACAACTCACTATAAAAAGCCAGGCATTAGCTCAGTGGTAGAATGCTTGTCTAGCATGCATGAAGACCTGAGTTCAATCTCCAGTGCTGTAAATCAAAGAAGTGGAAGATCTCTGTTGCAGGGCTAACCTTCTGTGTGCAGTGTCTACCTTGGTCTCTTGTTATCTCCATGAGGTTCAGGAGACATGGAGAGCAAGCACCAACACAATGAGACACTTCTCGTTATGCAGTGAGTAATAAAAAATAATCATTTATCTCAGGCCAGGCCTCTTATACTTTTGCCTATATCCATGAAACAGTAACTACTAGCCTGAGTAGGGTAAAATCTCAGCACCTGACATACTTATTTCTGCACTGCTTTTAGAAGAGAAATCAATTCACATCCCTCCTTAGCCGTGAATATTTTGGATTTCTATTACAGGCAGTCAATCCTAACTTATCAAGGAATAAGTTACTTCAAATTTTGGTTTTGGCATAAAATTATACTCATTATATCTTGTTGGGTGTTTATCATCCAAAATAAGCCAAATATAATCCATTCAAAAGTAGGGATATATGGTACTGGAGACCTCTTGAGCTAGTATCATGGGGAAATTAGCAAGACTACCATATACATGATACCCATGTTGGTAGCAGATATGGAAGGCACTGTAGACTTAAATCAAGCTGTCAAAGTTAGGAAAGTGAATTCTACACATTTATATGAGTAAGACAATTTTCTAAGGGAATCTGAAGTCATGTAAACTTTGTTTTGTGGGGAGCAAACCTTGGAGTGTTTTTTCACTGGGATACATTCCCACCCCTACCCCCTTTCATTGAGACAAGATCTCACTAAGTTGAATTTCTGCTTCATCCTCCCAAGCAGCTGGGATTACACTGCTGTTTTAAAATTTTAATCATATTCAAGAGGTTGAGGCAATAATGCTATGGGGTCAAGGCCAGCCTGGACAACACAGCAAGTTCAAGCCCAGTGTGCACTATGGAGTGAGACCTTGTGTCAAAAAAGCAAGCCAGAAATTTAACTCTGTTGGGTCCTGAATGATTCTGGTATATTAAATTATGCTGGAAATGTATTTAATGCCAACAAAAACAGTGAAACAGATGAAAGCTATACAGCCAATTACATGAAAGTGCTTTTTATTTTTTACAAGTTCATGACTGGTTATTATGAGGGACACTTCATCTAGGGACGACTTTTAAGGCAGTGAATTGAGTTTCCATAAGAATAGCACCTTCCCTCAGAAAAAGGGGGGTAAACAGGAGGCCCAGAACCTTCTGTTTCCAGTAGTTTCTCCTGTTCACAGAGGAGGTTTGAACTGTCTTTCATTTTAGTCTGTTGCTCTTAAATCTGAAAACTTTTTTTGAGGCTGGAACCACAACTTCATCCTGATTTTCATGTAGAAAACTACAAATTATGTTGGGTCCGTAGGCAAAATTATCATCCTTCATGAGCAGCCATTCTACCCCTCTTATGCTTTCTTTTCCTTCCTCCTTTCCTGCCAGGAAAGTTCTGGTCATTCTGAGTTTCTTCACTGTATGCAGCACTGTTTTAGAAAGAGTTTTGCCCTGGAATAAATCACGGGACATTATGACAGTAGTTCAACATGATGGAAGGCCAAATCGGGGATGCTTACCCTGAAGGCCATTTTCTCCTTCCTCCCCATTACAATTTCCTTTCTTCCTTTCCCCCTGTACCCACAGAGAAAATTCCAATTACCACTTCGGTCAAAGGGCACTTATGCCCCACACCCCCATATCCAGGCAGGGGAAAAAGCCAAACCCTTGCTGGCTGTGGGCTCCTTCCTCTCCATGTCCTTTAAATAAGGCCACTTCTACTTTTTCTCATATTCTGCTCCTTTATTGCACCAGAAAACTCTAACAATTTTATTATTGCTTTTTTTTTTTTTGTCTTTTTCATTTTTATCAGTACCGGGGATCGAACTCACGACCGCCTGCTTGCAAGGCAGGTACTTATGCCGCTGAGCTAAATCCCCAGCCTCTTATTATTGCTTTTTATAGCCATATGTTCAATATTTTTTTGAAATATAACACAGGTTCCAAGAGCATCTTCATATTCCCTGGCAGAAATATAGCTGTCCACCTACAGAATGGGCCTCTCGGTGTTGATCCTCAAAACCTTGCTTTTATTTTATATTTGGAGAGAAAGTCTGAATCAACAATCCCTGACAATTCCACCAGAACAAACTACTCTGCCTCAGTCTCCCCTTCTTCCTCCTCCTTCACCGGGTTCTCCCACCTGGGTTCCTGGGTCGCCAACCTGGGACCACATCGTCTGGGTCGCTAGTCACCCCTACGCAGGGCCACCACCTTGCCTACGGAGTAAGACAGTTTTGTAAAGTTGCTTAAATGTTATT